TCAGAATTATGCTTTCTATTATTTAGGAGTTGTGTTTTTCCAATAAACTCTGTTATCACTTTCATAAAGTGCCAGAGTCTGTTCTTTTTCTCCCAGCACCCCTAATTCCTGTAACTTCTGCTGAAGAAGAGTTTTGTTTTTCTCAAAGCAGTAAATTGATAAAGAAAGACATTGTACTAAATTATGAAGGAATCAGGACTTAATTTGCTTTTACCCACAACTGTTATTCTCCCACTGCTATTCTAAGACAATATTTTGAGATTGTCTGATTGTCTGAAATTCTTCTTTGGATCTGCTAGCAGAAGAACTTGAAGGTGGATTTTCTGTTTCCATATGCAATCACTGCACTGGCTCATGTGAAAAGAGCTATGGTAACATAGCAAGAATTTCTTCAATTTTTTTTTTTTTTTTTTTTTTTTAACAGTTATTTCCAAATGTCATGCCTCACTGAAGAGATACTAAGCAAAGGAAAATATTTTGTTCAAACTGAAACAGTTGTATGGGAACTGCTGAGTCACGGCCTGAACCTCTGACTGATCACCTGAGGCAAGCCATGAGTCAGCCAGAAGAGCACAGGTGAAGGCAATTCACCTGTGCTGCTGGAAGAGGTGGAGCCAGGCTCCACCCCTCCTAGACCTATTTAGGAGCTGGCTACCAGTGGGGAAGGATCTTGTCTGGAGATCCCCTCTTCTGGTGTTTTTTGTGGGTGAGCCTAGCATATGGGTATGCCCTCCATTTATTCTCTCTTGTTATCTTAGTCTACTTTGCCTTACTCTCTTATTCTTTCTTTTTTGTGATTATAACATCTTAATATCCACTGGTCATACAAACAGTAGTTAACTTTTTTTTTGTTTTAATGAAAATATTTTAAATGCATTTTAAAATCACTTAGTAAACAATTTTGTGAAAAGAAACAAAGAAATTAAGAAAAGATTCTTCCAAATATCTGTTTCAAGATTAATTTTTAAGGATTGTGTGACTATACCATGTAAATATCACTGGTCAGGCAATTTTAGGTTTTCTTCTTCTTCTGAGTTATCACTAGTAAAGGAAGTTAACTGTTGAGTTAATAATCAAGGAAGAAAAGACAAGTACTGAGGGATAATGAAATATCTTCTGATCATATTTTAAATTTTATGCAGTAGTTAGAAATTGAAAATTTTCCTTTTTTTTTTAAAAAAAAAAAAATAAAAATATGCCAAATACGTTCTTGGAGACTGCTTTGTCTCACTCTATTACTCAATTCTGTGCGCAGTACTCGGCTTCTCCTACTGTGCTACTGATTGCCCAAGGTGTAGGAAGCCTTTTACAGAAATAAATTAGTTTGACTCATTTTTCCACTCAATTTTGTTTCTCTTCTTTGCTGCTATAAGGTCGGGTTAGAAAGATCATTTTATTTTCTAAAAGTTCATTTCCAAGGATAAGTTGTTAGTCATATTTCATGCTTATGCTACACAGGAAATTAAATTTCAGGAGGATATATTAGTACAGATATTTAAGATAAATTTGTGAGCAGTTGATAGTCAATAAGATTGCACAATGCTTAGAAACAGTTCATAAAGATGTGATACTTAAGCAAAATTCTTTCACTCTATTTTAATTTTTTTGAAAAAAATTAAAAGACTGGGTTACATTATTTTGGACATTGATACATTTTTAAGAATGTCTGCCTTTTCTATTTATTAGATTTGAGCGCCTGTAAACTGTAAAAATGCATATGCACTTACTCTGTATTATTATGAATATACCTCTATGAAGGTTAGTGACCATAGTGACACTGTTCTCTGAATCACGACAACATCACTCATATTACTGTTAAAGTAATTTGGTCTACGTGAAAATATGCAAAAATAGTTTTTCCTTGTTGAATTGTCTTCACAGTGACTTCACAATGACCACTATTCATTCATTTCTAAAAAGTAAAAATAAAAACCTCTGTACTCAATACTTAACAGAACACCAGGCTGTAATATAAATCAAAATGCTGTGATTCAAATATAATTTAAATGATATCAATAGACTAGTATTGCTGTAAATAGCATAAGATTGAAGTTTTTCAAGAAACACATCCATTTCAAATGCACTTAAAAGAAAATTTGTAAAACAAAATCATGACGGTGAATAGGATTGTGGCCTTCACTTTAGAACTTCAGATAGCATATTCTCCTTAAATCAGACCAGGATATGCAATGACTATCACAGTACATGAAGAACCGCAAGGAATCTTGAGTTGATTCTCAGAACCCTAAGTATGAGCCTATTTTCAGCTGACTCTCTACTTAATGTATTTGAATTTAGTGCCAGTCTTTGAAAAGTTAAAAAGTTATGATTGGGATTATATTCAAAGCTTTCATAGCTAAGAGTTTGCTGCTTTAATAATAAAATCTATCTTTGCCATCATAAGACTCCAAGGCTTCAATTTTAAGACAAACAGTAAACATAATGAGGTCACTGGTAACTACCACACCTGCACATAACTAATTCTTTCTTGCTTTGCTGATCATGGTGGAGTAACAGCCTACTACTAGGTAGGGAGTTATAACTGAGTTCAGTTTTTAGCCTGTTGTGAACAACTCTAGGTAAAGCAGGTACAGGAAGACAGTGATAAGAAGCTACATGTTCTTAGTTGATTGCGTAACAAAAACATTGGTTATTTTTTCTCCGTTCAAGAAATTTTAAGTCTTGATTTTTTTTTTTTCCTTAAGTGATGGATTCAAGTCAAGTTTAGAACTGAACTCCTCTGCCCTTACACCATTTTAGCCTTCACTGTCCTCAAACCCAAAACTTTGTCACAAATGTGAAAACATAAATTTTATGATTTTCATTTGTTAGTTTTTAGTAAAGCTGTTCTAAGTAATACGTACTTTTCTGAAAGTAATTCAAGGAGTTTTGTCCTGGAGAAAAGTGCATATACTCAGAGGTTTTCCAGCAGCTTGACTCTACAGATGCAGTGCTCTGTTAGTTATGGGAAGGCAGCACAAACATCTATGGGGCTGATCCAAAAAATAATGCCTTGTATTTTGTTATCTGGGCAACACAACATCAGAAGGAGATGTTGGTTGTACGGTAGTAGAGATTGAATCTTCTCACCAGTATTCCATTACATTTTGTTGCTGTATGACAGATGGCAGCAGAGGGGCAGTCTGACAAAATGACATGGAAGTGTGTGTGAAGCAAAGGTGTAGAACTGAAATTCTCCATGAGGAAAAAAACTGCATCCACTGACATCCTGCAATGCTTGCTGTATGTTTATGAGACCAAACAGTGGATGTGAGTGCAGTGAGATAGTGGATGACGCATTTCAGCAGTGGTAGTGGTTTTGTAAAAGACAAGCCATGTTCTGAAAGGCCATGTGCAGCTGTAATACTGTGAAATGAAAAAATGTCTTTATCAGCTCATCCTCATGAATTGGTGGATTACAACCAGGGATCTGCATAGAAAGCTGAATATCAGCTTCAATGCATTAGAAATGATGGTGGCAAGGCTTGACTATCACAAAGTTTTTTCCAGGTGGGTCCTGTGAACATGAGAACAGGACACCTTGTGCAAGTTGGTCAGGACCTATGCGTATGGTGTTACCACTATGAGCTGGGGTTAAAATGGTGGTTCAAGGGGTTGCAACATGTGAATTCCTCATTGAAGACAAAGCTTAAGATACAGCCTGCAGTGGGAGAAGTGATGTGCACTCTTTTTGGCATAAGAAAGGTGTGAACCTTCTTAGCTTAGTGTCATGATGTAGCAATTAGAGGTGACAACTTGTCCAGGTTCCAGCAGTATGGGTCTGGAGAAGAGTAGCTTGACAGCTGCATGGCAGAAGAAGACTTGGGGTGCTGGTTGACAGCCAGATGAAAATGAGGCAGCAGTATACTCAGATGGCCAAGAAAGTGCATGTCTTCTAACCTACATCAGAAATAGTGTGGCCTGAAAGACGAGGGCGGGGATTGCCCCTTGTACCTGGCAAGATTGTACTTTGAGTACTGTGGTCAGACCTGGGCTACTCACTATGAGATGTTGAGTTTTTTCAAGTAGATGCCAAGAAGAGCAACAAAGCTGGTTGAAGAGACTAGTAAACAAGACTTATGAGGAGTGGCTGAGTGAACTGGGGGTGTTAGCCTGGAGGAGACTGAGGGGAGATCTGCTCAATTTCTACAAAGTTGCAGTGGGGAGGGTATTAGTGTCTTTTTCCCAGGTAACAAGTGACAGGATGTGAAGAAACATACTGATATTGCTCCAGGGAAGGGTTAGTCTGGATACCAGGAAGAATTTCTTCACAGAGAAGGTACTTAAGCATTAGAACAGACTGCTTAGGGAAGTTGTGAGGTCCCGGCCCCTGGAGATCTTTAGGAGACGTGAAGATGCAGCACTAAGGGACAGGATGTAGTGATGGGTCTTGGTGGGTCTGGGTGATGGTCAGACCTGATGATTTTGAAGGTCTTTTCCAGTCTAGATGATTCTGTGATTCTCAGGTTTTTCCTGGTCATGTTCTGTTTATCCAGAAATGAGTTTACTGGGTTGCAGATTAACGGTGATACAAGCCCTGGTACTCTAGGACTGTTTTCCATTCAAGCCTATTTATCTTCACAGAGGTTTAATATTGAAAATGTAGTGCTGTGCTGGTTTTGTGGAGAGGAAGAAGGTCTGGCAATGAACACCAGAGAGGCATTAACAATCTGCTATCTAGACTGGATCCAAGTAGAAACATGTACCGAAACATGCCTTAATTGTACTAGCAGGCTTATACTTTTTATCCTTCCTTATCTAGTGTAACAGGACTTTGCTGTATCTTATAATATATGAATTAGAATTTCTTTTTTGTTTTTTTCTGGGGGGGAGGGGAGTTTATCTTCTCTGTATTGCCTATGATATTATAGCCATCTGAGAACCCATCAGTACAAATTGGCACAACATACCTTAGGGAGCTGTTCATTATCATCATGAAATAACACTGTCCTTTGTCTCAGTTCTTCTGTTTTGTTTTATCTACAGATTCAAAGATATGTTTTCTGTTCTGCAGAGGTGACTTCTTGGAACTTAACTGTCAGTTCCAGATCATGTAAGGAAACATGAAGTATTTTTGGTTGAAGAGCTCATTGTGTAAATAAATTCCTTCTTAGGATATGCAATCAATGTAATCTGAAGTGAAGGTTCCTCTGTGTATATAATAAGCCATAATTTGAAATTTTACCTTTTCTAAAACTAAGAATCAAACTTTACATAATGTCATAGCAACAGGATATTCTTTAGAACAGGTCCTTTGTGGTAAGCATACCTGAGTTATGTATGACACATCCAGTTTCATAGAGGGGAAAAAAAGAAAGTTACAATTTTTCAGGCCTCTGTTTTTGAGAACTGTTACTCAGTTCTGTTTCCTTCAGCTTCATCCGAAAGTCTCAGGTCTGCAACATGACAACACAGAAATAGCAGTACGTTTAATCTTCACTATTCACTGATGATATATAGGAAAAGAGATGTCAGTTAATTCATTTTTTGAGTATTTTAAAGGAATGATGGAGATGCTGTACATATTTTTTTCAGTTGGATGACAGCTTGAACTCATCAAGGATTTTTAGACAAGGGGAAGGTGCAGTTTCTTTTCAGCTCAATTCTTTGTTAATTATTTAAAGACTAATAAATTTTTCTTATTCTTGAGAATGAAGTAAGATTAAAAAAGGATGTAGTGAAAAATAAAATGAAGAATGTGAAGGTCTGAACCCCTTTGATTCCTCTGTTACTCTTGCCTCTCCTAGCATGCTAGGAAACTTCTCAAATTTAATTGAGAAATTTAATTTGTGAATTTAAGCATTCACAATGTTACTTTACTACCATAAAAGGAGGTAATAAGATGAAAATTATGAGATCACAATTCAGGCAAACTAAGAAAAAAAAAAGTCAGATTTCACAGGAAGGTTTTTAAAATTTCTAAAGATTTTCATCCTGTCTAGTGAAGAGAATCAGTGTTGTTTGCTGTTTGTTTTTTTTTTTTTTTGACTCTGCTTATGCACTTAGAGACTACGTACACTCCACGTAGCCTTATGGAGGAGGGTTGGTTTCCTGTCATTCTGCCTCACCCTAGAGCACTCTCAAGCAACAAAGAAATATTCCATGTTGTCTCTCCCTCCTTTGCCTTCAGCCTCCCAAGGTCCAAGCTATCATTTCTCTTTCTTTCATCAAAAAAACTCCATCACACTCTTAAAACAAAAGAATGAAAGAAAAAAAAAATCATTGCTAGTGAATGTCTTATTCAAATGAACACATTTTCACTGTTTTCATTTTGTTAAATTATGTATGAACATATTTATATTAAACTACAAATAAACTACTGCTTATTTGAAAGCTTCAAATTAGTGTTAGTACTTTCTAAACCAATAATTTAACTAATAGCAAAATAACTTTTTATCTCCTATCTCTATAAACATAAGTCATGCTGTGTAGCCTTGTGAAAATAAGATGTGCCTCAGCCACTCTAATATCTGTGCTTGAATTTCATAGCTGGTCTGATTAGGTGCTCCTAGTCCTCTCTTATGACCTTCTAATACAGAAAGGAATCACCTTGAGCTATAGTTTGTATCTCTACTCGAGTCCTGTCATACGAAAACTGTAAAAAATGGTTTCTGTGAACATACAGCGAGGAAGTACAGAACATCTCATCTGTCCCTTTACTTGTACTGCTGGATATGACTTTCATGGCATAAGAGTAAGTCAGATGTAATTGGAATGGAGCCCAAAGCTTTGCCTTTGCATTTTGACTTCACCAAGGTAGAAAAGCATTTTTCCCATTATACCTTAATTCTTTCTGCAAGCTTGAACAAGTTAAATTCATTACAGAGGATGACTGATTAGATTCATCAGAGATTTCTAAAGTGCGTTTGTTTGTTTGTTTTTGTTGAATACACATTCTATATTGAAAATGGGATACTACCAGAATTCCAAATTACCTCTTAATAATTAAAGTACTGTTATTATTTATGAGATTAAGTAATTACATGAACAAGAACAAAATTCACCACTAAAACTCTGGTAGTTTCTTGTCTTTAATTATCAAGCACCTACCAGCTATATTCCTACTAATTTGGACAGGCAGGTGTTTCCAGCAGGAGAGATGAAAAGGAAAAAATGATCTCAAAATTAATGTTATTACTTTTCTTATCTATTTGTCAGAACACAGTAAGAAAAAAAAAAATAAAAAAATTTCCAAAGTGGAACATTTGAGTATTTAATTTCCCTTTTTTTTTTCCCTTCCACTTTCATCTAGGAAATGAAATTTACTGAATTAAAACAGGTAGTGTTATTAGTGTGTAATTATGGCATTTTAGAAGGAAGTTCCTTTTTGTCTCCAGTTTAATGAAGTAAGAATGGCTCAAAAAATTCAATCTGAACAACTCTTTCTCTCAGCTTTTATTTCTCTTTTTTAAAGGGGTAGAAAATTCCTCCAAGCTGGTTGGATTTGCTGTCCTTACAATATTTATTCTACTTTATAAAGTGTTCATTTCATAGTTTCAAATTATCTTATTTATTTATTTATCTTATTATCTTATCTTATTTTATCTTAACAAAGCCAGAGAAAATTAATAGATACACTGTGCAGTCTTTGAAGGAGAGGATCAACTTCATCTAGGCCAGGCATAAGAAACTAATTCTACAGACTGAGTTCCTGTTCCAATAAAGACTAGAAAGAATTTCAAATTTAATATCATCCAATGTATCTTTTGAAATCATACTACTAAAAAGAAATTTCTGCATTTAGGGTCAAAGTGAAGATCCTTTCTGCTCTGCTCCTTAGAGTAATCACATAGAAGGGGAAATCCAAACACTTGCTCTCTACTGAAAGGACTGTTAATACAATAGACATAGAAGGTAAGATTCATAGGATAATGAACAAAGCAAACAAGTCTAAAAAGAACTACAAAGTCCTGTATTAATTGATACACTAATAATAATGGTAATAATAATCATAATATTAATAATGATGACTATCTCATTTAGTCTCCTTTTTATTTCTTTTTCCTTTCTCATTCAGATTCACGAATGCAGATTTAGGTATCAAACTCATATCTTTTGCTTTCAAGACTATGTAATATCAGGTATAAAATAACAATGTGATTTATTTTATTTCATTTTGGTTTTGTCCTAAAATGCAAGTAAGTCAACATTTTTAATGCAACTAAAATTGATATTCATTCTGTTCGAGGCTCATGTCTGAATCACAGGTATTTTCTCTGAAGAGAAGGGGAAAATTTAGTTTAGTATTTTTAAGCTAGTGATATTATACAAGAATTTCAAAGCCCACCTTCTGACCAAGTGCAAACCAGTATTTGAAAAGAGTGGGACAATATCCTGATGTACAGTACTAGGATAAGATTTTCGGTGATATGGACAAATGAAGCCATAGTGTTCTCAGAATAAGAGAGAATGTTATGATAGCGTGGTGTCTTTATCCTATAGACGTGCCTATTAAAAAACTGTTTGACTGCCATCCTTATACTTGGTTTTGGCTACGTAACTGCCTGCTAGGATACACATATTTTCTTTACTAGAGAGAAGGAATAGAAAATACTCCATGAAGAGAAAAGTTTGATTATAAGACAATATAGATTTTCTAGACTATTTTTCTCTGGACAGAATTTTGTCCTCATTCAAATCCCACAGAAAATTAGTTTTCCTATTCATTTCAATAAGATTTGCATCAGGTTTTAAGCAGTTGCTATGTCGCAATATTTTCAACAGGATCCATCCTTCACTTTTTTTTGGTATCATCTATCACAGGTCTACTAAAATTTAAGCATTTGAAGGGGAACTTTATCAGAAATTTACAAATAACACTCATTAAAAGTTGTCTACAAAGCATTTCCCCTTTTTTGCATTCAGCTTTACTTGATGAGTTCATCTCTATCAAACTGGGAGATTTCCTTCTTTTTCTGGTACTTGAAATTTTAATGCTTATCAGTTGCAACAAAAGTTAACAGTGGTTACTAAATTTGAAAAATAAGTTATTCAAATGCAGATAAGTGTTAAGGAGAGTAAATATAAAAAGAGTGAATAAATACAAATTAAATCATAGCTAGGGGCATGCATAGTGTTTTGCAAATCTGTTTGAAAATCTATATACTGAGACATGAAGTATTTTAATACCATAAGTATTGTGCAAATCCCTTGAAAACCAGGCGTATTATTATTAAGTGATCTTCATGTTGCTCTAGTTTGTTTTTTCTGTTTTTCTTTATTTTATTTTCTTCTCCTAGCTTTACTGAAAAGCTCTTCATCACTTGATTTATTTATTTTTTTTCAATTGCAATAGTAATTCTGACGTCATGTTAGCTGATGTAGAAAGACTGCAATGTAAATAAAACATTAAGACTTGAAGAGGAGGCAGAGATTGTGTGATTGTGTAAAAGTCTTCGAGCAAGCTCTTAATACCTTCCTATAAGATAACCATATTAGAGCATTCAGTGAGCTTTCTTTTACTCAAGGGATTTAATTATATGTCAGGTGAGCTATTTGAAAGCATTTTAGTTCAAGTTACTCTTTCAACAGTAGTACAATAACTGCAGTTTAATATCTATGAATTTTAAAAGTAAAACTCTTTCTGCTTTACCTTCTCATGCAGAAAATGCATCTGTTGAAGGCGGAGCATACCTCTGCCAGAAAGGAGGCTGTTGCTTTGAAAGATTATCTGGTGCAGAGCTTCTGGGAATGTTTTAATTGAAAATATCTGGTAAGTGAAAACCTAATGCATGAAATTTGCTTTGAATTAGAATTAGGTAGGAAAAAAAATCATACTTGTGAAACAAAGTCATCTCATACACCAATGTTTACTTGTCCATAGAAAGCCTGAAATGGTAATTTGGAAAGAAAGCTTCTAGGAAGTGTGCACAAACAACATTTTGGGCATGTGTTTTTAGCCGATATCAGCTGACCAGCCCTTATCTACTCTGCTCTGCTTCCCTCAAAGGCAGGTTCACAAATGCCCAGGTAACAGATATAGGAAAAAATTATTACTGGTTTGACTATAACTTGTTCTAATTCTTCTATTTGTCAAAGGCTACCCAAACACTTATGTGCACTGTGCACAGGGGATATTTTCAAGCATTTATTCAAACTGGTGTCAGTATGCATATATATGCATACATACAATTGTCAATTGAAGAAAGTGGGCAAAGAGCCCACATGACCTAAGGAATGTGTTTGTCATGCCTGAATATAACCTGAAATTCAGCCAACCATGAATTTAAATTCTAACAAAAGAAAAAGTCTCTGAGAGGCACAACAGAATACACTTCATCAAAATTTTTCATTTTATAGCATTTTCCACAGATATTTTCTATCTCAAAAGCGGGGAACTTGGCTGATGAAGAATGATCTTATGAAGTTTCATCTTTGTTCCATCTCACTATATACCTCAGGTTGTTATGCTTTACTAATTATTGGGTTGTAATTGAAAGTTAGACAAGCTCTGAGGACTATGTTCTCAAACACTGGGCTATAAAATGGCAGCAAAATGAAATCATAGCTGTAGAAATAGTCTTGAAAGAGAGAGAGGGTGATACATTATCTGTATGTGTTTGAAGAGGATGATGCTAGCTGCGTATATTTCTGGGGAAAGCATTTATGAAAACAGGGCCATTGTATCAGTTCTATTATTTTCTGTGTGCCAACTTTCTCTTTTTTAAAAACAAAAGTCAATTATTTGGGAAAACTAATGAGCACTGATTTCCTCCCGCTCTTTCTCTTCCTTTCATCTATAAAAATGATTTATTTATTTATTTATTTTCTCTCAGCTCTTAAAGATACTTAGTGAATGTACTTGTGGTCATTCTCTCTCTATGTCCATGAGCATGAGTGGCATGAAGACTTAAATCCATGCACTAAAATAAAATGACAGCTGTGCATTACTGGGAGTTGATGTAGTCATCACTCTATCAGAATAAAGTATTTGACAACCAGTGTTTCCAGTTAGAGCCCCAGAAATTACTCTCTGTTACTCCAGACCAATTCCAGGGCTTACCTGAAGGTGCAGAAGATTCCTCAATTATCAAGAAATTTGACATAGCAAGGACTTAAAATTGAGCTAGTGAAGACTTTCTCAGTCAGAAGCTGAGCAACTGCTGTATGACTGAGTCCCTCTAATAAACTGCCTCTGGTTAGGATAGTATTTCAGTTAACTCCTCTCAAGGCTCTCCATGACACCCCTATGTAATAACCACTGCAAATAGATATTGACCTTCCCTCATACCTTCAAGATCATTAGACCAAACCTTGTATCTGAAACTCCCACTGATTATAATCAAAGTCAGGGTGTTTGGGAAATTTTTCCTCTTGAAGAGTGACTCCAGTTTTGGGTATGCTGTTTTTTATGAGACAAGATATTAAGAGAGTCTGAACATTGATTCACATACTATTTTCTTGTATCTATCATATAAACAAAAATTAATCAGGCCTCCATATTAAAAAATACAGAATATGGCTTTGTTCTTTACCTTTCAAAATCAATACAATCTGTGATTAAGCATTCTTCTGCTAGTACAACTATTATAAAAACAGAAGATAATGCTGATCTCTAGTGACATTCAGATTTAAGAGTGCTTCCTCTGATGTATAGTTGACAGAGTAAATATCACAGCTCTAGCACTCCGTTGTTTTGTTATAAGAACCAATCCAGAAAATCCAAAATGCAATATTTATTTCCTGTTTGCTGTTACTGAATTGCTTCCTCTAAGCTAAGATGTATATTTGAGGATTGTTTGTTTGTTGTCATGTACTGAGCTTAAAAATTCCCTGTGCAAAAAAAAAAAAAAAAAAAAAAAAAAAACTGATTTGTTTTCAGTTATACCACAACTCTTCTCGAGTCTCAGATCATTGCATCCTCAGTTACAGTAATCATGAGAAACAATAATTTTAGCTGGAAAATATGAAGGTAATAGTATTTTCTTGCATTACTACCTTTACATCTCAGTCACAGTGGTGGAACTTGCAATAGTCTTCCTAATTTACATGAAAGCAAAGAATTACATTATTTCATGTGAAATGAAATTTTGGTTAGTAACATTTAAAAAGTAAAATGATGCAAAGACTTCCTTTATTTTAACACACACCTTTTTACCATAAATATTTTGGTTGCAGGAGGGAAAAACACAATCTGCTTTCTCAAAGTGATATCTGACATGGAACCTTTTCATTTTAAATGCAAATATCAAATTGTCACTTGATGTAAAAATTCAGACTAGAATGATTACTGTGTCTGATTGCTATTAAGTTAATTTTCTTGATAACAGATCGCACAGTGCTGTGTTTTAGATTTTTTAACAAGTGATGACAGCATGCTGATATTTTATCTGGTGCAGAGCAGTGCTCACAGTCTCAGTACAGTTTCTAAATCTGCCTCACAGTGAATAGACTGGATGATGTGCAAGAGAGTGGGAGAGGACACAGCCAGGCAGATGACCCAAACTGACCAAAGAGATACTTCATGCAATACAATGACACGTACAGCAACAACAAATGGAAAAGAAACAGATTAGGGATTAGACATTTTCTTGGGAACTGTTTGGGGACTGGTCTATGCATAGGAGGTGGTGATTGCATTTGCATCAATTGTTTTGTCTTGTTTTGTTTCTCTTCTTTCACTTCTTATTCACTTATTAGATGTTTTTTATCTCAACCAACTATTTTTTTTTTCCTTGATTTTACTCTTTCATATCTCTTCCCCTACCCCTCTGGGGGTTGGAGGTAAGTGGCCAAGCGACTTCATGGTCCTGATCTGACCACTAGGGTTAACCCACAACACTACTGGATGTGTCTGGCAGGAGAAACTTCTATCCTTCTTCACCACATCCGGTCTTTGGATTGAAAAGTAAATTGAAAAGGTTGTATTATGTGTTTTTTTAACTAAATAAAGGAGAAATTAATAGTAGTATTTCTTTATAGAATAAATAATAATGAATAATGAATAATAATTAACTCTCTGCTTCTAGACTTTCAGAGAATGTCCAGAGCTGGAATCTGCTTTGGCAGCTGATCTTCTCTATTTTCATCAGGAAACAAATGTGCAAACTTTACAGCTTCTCAGCACTGTAAATTTGCAGTCTTTTTCTCCTTTGCTTGAAAGTTGCAATCTGCCAAATTTCCATGTCTATCACTCCATTCACTGTCCTGAACATTTCTGTGCATTGTGGTTTTGCCCAGGAAGAAGAGTAGTGTTGCTTGCAGGGATGGCTGCATGAGCTAATTACCCAATTGCCAGAGAGAAATTGTGTGCCTGTATGTGGATATCAAGTGGCTCATGTGGAACTGACCTGGTAGTCTTTCTGTTCTCACAGATGTGTGTTCACTATCACTGTTTCTTCAGATTCAAAGGTACTGGCTTCAGACAGAATTACTACTAGGAAATGTGGAGAAAATCTACTGGTTTATATGAATAGAAGCTTGGACTCTAGAAAGCCTTGGTTTTTGAAAATAGTTGCAAATAACTGAATGAAGATATCAATGGAGACAGACAGGAATAAGGTCACAGCACTGTTCCTTTAGTTCCCTACCACCAGGATACTCAATAGCCAAAAGCATTTTCTCTGTCCCAGAAATTTATGACAGATAATGTAATAATCCAAGACAAATTAGACTTTCCCTGCACAGGAATACTGGCATTTGAGAAGAAAGTAAAAATTGTGTCATCAATTGAAATCAACTGCAGTGTCTGGCACTACTTCTCCCTGTGTAACTTAATCCATTGGCTGTCTCATAAAATAAATCAGATAAAAAAATTGGGGCCGTGCCCTTGGAGTAAGGCAGCACAGCTCCACTGACTAGGCCAATTTAGACCATCTGAGGTTAGTATTCTTTGATGCTGAAATTGTTCACTTGATTAATGGACCAACTGTATAGCTCTTATCTAACTTGGACTGCAACCAGAGTCTCTTCTGTTGTCAAATGCTAGTATGAAGACTACAACCATAAACCTCTGTAATTTAACATGTAATGAACTGAGAGACAGCACCATAATTTTTGCTACCTTGATATATTATTTAACTATATAATTCAATGCAAGGCTTTTTTTCCCTGAGTTTTAAATAATATAGGAACATTAGCTCAAGGAGGAGGAAGTGAAAGGATCACGTAATCTGTTAGCAGCATCTTCATTTGGACTGCTAATAGCAAATACAGGAGCAAAACACTGTTGCTGTTTCAATATTAAGTGTACCACTCTGAAAGGGAAAGTCAGGGAAATGGAAAGTAATCTTCAATGGTGTACACTTCTAAATTACTACATGTTCTAATATAATGTATAAAGGGATTTATTTGCACTCATATAACTGCTTGTAATAACAGATTCCTAGATTGCTACTTTTTATTTGTTTGGTTATGGCCTTCTGGTGCTGACTAGTGCTAATAGCTACGCAGTAGTTTAAATACATTACAGCTGTTTTCACTTTCCATTAAGGTAGTTACTGACAGTTTAAATGCATGTCTGATGGTTTCCCCTTATGAATAGCTACCTTCAACAAGGAGTCTATATCTGAGCAGCACAATGTTTCCCAAGCATTGCATAACACTGTTTGTTTGACTTCTTAATTATTCTGTAAGCACCCATGGAATTTCTCATGAGGTTCAGACAGTATTACCAAATAAAAATTCAAACCTGATAGTCACCAGGACTACAAGTGAGAATTATGTTACTTTTAACAGCTTTATTATTTTGAGAACATATAATTTGTTCTAGGTCCCTGTTTGCAAAATATGTGAGCCACTTCAATCCTCAGGTAGTAACCTGGTATCATTTTTTTTTTTTAATCACCTTCTCTTACGAAGAGCTAAAATATCTTTTAGAAAGAGGTTTCCACTGGCAAAATTAATTTGGCAGATGTGCATTACCTATGTGTGCTAATATTAGTGGTCTAATGCTTCTAGAAGCACAGGTAATAGGTGCTGTGTAGGGGTAGATCATCCAGTTAATCGGCTTAACCATAAGTGGTTCTCTTGTTCTATGACTGAGACAGGTTTTGAGTTTATTATATTAAGAAATAGATTTCAATGTAAAAGCTCTTGATTTGAGGATCTTTATGAGAAAATTTTGCATTAAGTCTGGGGCAGTCACAGTGACCGAGTATGTAGCTGATCAGATGTTAATCCAAATCAGCATGCAAAGTGAGTGAAAAATCAGTTTCCTCCTCCTACTAATTTCCATTTCTTTCCTGTCAGCTTTCAAGTCAGAAAAATTCTCTAGTATTGCTTGTACTTATATTCTGACTGAATAGTGGCAGTCTGAAGCCTGCTACAAGTGTGCACATCAGAGGTAAATTGCCTGAAAACCACAGGAATGTTTGTAAGCTACAGATGCAGATGCTACCAGTTTCCAGAAGTTTTGCAAAGCTCCTTTGCAAAGGAATTTCTCCTACCTATTCAATACTGTTTGTTTCTGGGATTAAAATAGGATCAAATCAAACACCAGAAATAGGGTTATTTTTCAAAGACAAAGAGTGGGTACTGCAAGTCACTTCTAATATGGTGGTGAAGCTTCTGCATCTGCACATCCCAAGATCCAAAATGTAGTGAGGTTGAGTGTGTATGCCTAACACATGCAACAGGCACACAAAAACACACATAATACAGTGCATATATACTTGCACACATGGCCAGCCACGTAGCTCACATCATTCACACATTCTGTTTCCTTTCTGGCTCACCAGGGGGTGAGGTGAAGATTCTTTTTTGGGAAATGTACTTACAGAGATATACCATCTAGATGCCTCCAGCAGTGAGACTCAGGCATTCAGTCTGCTGAGCAGCTGCCCTTGGATCCCAATCTTTCCAGTTGCTGGCACATGGACATACAAGCCCCTGAGGCCACAGCTCAAGTCCAGCTGCTGGTGCACACACATGCACACGCACACAGTCAATTTCCAAGCCCCAAGGTCTCACTGGAAGTTGTCCTGGACCACCTGGTACAAGGTTCCCATGTACAATCCCAGTCCCCAGGACACTCTGCATACCCATGGGCTGATCCAGTTTCGTGTGCCTCATGGTCACACCCTGACCTGTAGATGCTCATCCCCACCTTTGCTGGTAGCAGGGACATGCTGTGACCTGCTGCCAAATATGCCTCAGTTGCAGCTGCTGAGACTTTTATGCTTTCAGTATAGATCCCCATACCCAGGAAAAAGATTTAGAAAAGAAATTTAGTAGAAAGACAGGTCAGGCAGCAGTGCCTGGACAGCTAGACATGCATGCTGACCAGCAACCTGCTCACACATGGCCCATCCCTCTTCTCACTCATGCTTGCTCGTCCCCAACAATCTTGATCCCTCCCTTTTTCTACCTTTGGTTTCTCCCCTAAACATTCCATAGTAGGTGTAGTGCAATCCCCAGATGCTGTTCTCCTGCCTCCCACTAGAAATGTGGCAGCCCTGTGAGCAGCACAACCTCTCTATTTTTACAGTACCCTGGAGAGGCTGAGTGGTGGCTGAGGTGGGGAAGAGCTAATGGCTCTTCCATGGAACCCTGGGTGGAATTGCAGTAGGCTGGTTGTTTGGGCTCCCCCACCTTCTCACACACAACTTTTTTTTTAAAAAGCTTAATATTTCTACCAGGGACAGGATATAACATCACCATGTTTTAAGTTATGGTCTAAAATTTATTAAGATTTCTGAAGCTTTAATACACTTAATATAATTGAATAGAATTCAGTCCTGAACCATCGCATGAGGTCACCATGCATCTTTAATTTATTGTACTTTCTCTTCTACTTTAATCAAATCAAGATAACTACTCCATTTTTTTTTGAAGTCCAATTCAAAATTTTCAATTTATTTTCCTCCTTGTCCCTCTGATAAGCACAAATAAACCCACTGTCTCAAAGTTTGTATTTTTTTTTTTTTTATGTTTTTGAGATATAAGGAATAAGTCGTTGGATTATTTTTGTTTTCCCAGAGGTGGTGATTACCTAGCATTAGTCAAGCTGCTTCACAAATCAAGCAGTTGTTGAACAGCATCTATATTAAAAAAAAAAAAAAAAAAAAAAAAAACAAAAAACAACAAGAAGAACAGCTTACCTTCTCAGATAATAATCCAGTTTCAGTAGCTGGGGCTGGAGTGTACAGGAGTGTACAGGAGTGTACATCTCAGCAAAATCATAATAGTTGGAAACTCTATTTTAACTTGATAATCAAAATCTTCCATATGCAGATTTCTTAGAACAAAAATTTTCAAGCTAGTTTTGGTGAAGAAAAAGACATTCCATTTTTGCTTCCATTCAAGACAGTTCTACTGTATTTTCCAGATATCCCAAAATAAGAAATCTCACTACACTGTTAAAGAACTCTAGCAATATTTAAGGTGTTCATTGGTCAGTAAACCAGGATCTTCTCAGAGCAACTAGGATGATGTCTGACCTGAAAGATGACTCTTTTCCCTCTGCTGGTAACTCTCAGGGATGAGAGAATGACTTTCTTGACGTCAAAATAATAAAAAACGATGAACTCTGACAGGAATTCCTTCTGTGACAAATGAGTCAAATGAAATTAAATTTCTGTCATAGTATTCTTATTGGATTCACAAATAATTAAATAGTATTAGAGAACCTTGCTAAACTTCATACAAAAGGTAGGCAAGAATCTTACCTCTCAAACTGTGTACCTTCTTTTCTGTATCTTGTGTGGACCAGCAGCAGAGAAAAATTGAATTAAGAAAAATTCTAACTGAAGTGCCTGCTTGTTGCTTGGAAAAATGGATGTGAACATCAAGTACAGTTTTACTGTTTAATGTTAGCTGCATGCAAAATACTTTTCTGTTGCTCAGACATTCAGTATAAATAAAAGAGAGTTGGCCTTGGATCACACAAGCTTCATTACCTTTCAAATTAACCACATTTTTCATTCTTTCCTCACAATATTAATTCTACTATATAGTGGCATTATGAATGATAAAAATGACACTTGCAAAATGGGGATAGGAAAATATTCCAATTTGTTTATGAGATTATTCTTTCCTCTTTGGTTATGTGATGATCTCATTTAATCTCAGTTAATATGGATAAATTTTACCTACTAGAAAAGTGGCAGAATTCTATTTGCAAACATAGAAAAATTCATTCTTACAGAATGACAAAACGATATTCATAGACTTAGGCTTTTATTGAGACTAGAAGGGAACTGTTTGATTAAAAGCGTGAAGTCAATATTTTTGAAAGCTTAAAAAACAAAGGGAAGCCCAAGCAATTTGAGGGCTTTGGAATTTTTAAGATTACTTACTATTTCTTTGGAAAAGCTACAGTTTCTCATCCAAACTCCCATCACCCACAAAGCTTGAAAGCTTTTCATCCAAAAACCTCATATTTAAAACCATCAGGCAGTAAGTACAGTTCACACAAGGTATTTGAGAGGAATCTATGAGGCTTATCAAGCAAAAGAATGGCTGATGAATTTCAAAGATGATAAATGGGAGGTGATACACGTAGGAGAAACAGAGATGTACATACAAAATGCTGCACTCTTATCAGACAATTGAAATTCATCCTGGTATCTTGGATTATCCCTGAGATTTTTGTGGACACCAGAACAGCAGCAGTCCCAAAGGGGCTTATACAGATAGCAATGGAGAACGAAGTAGGCAGTGATATTATGTTGTATGAAAATGTAGGCAGTTTGTGCAGTTTTGTTCCTCTTATCTCAAGATGGTTTTTTGAGAGGTAGCATTGCTAGGAGAGGCTCTGGGAAGGGCAGAAAAAGTAATGAAACAACCTCAAAAAGTGCAGTACAATTTGATAACATTGTAAGGACTGGAAAAGGGAAACGATTATTCAGTGCCTGTCACAGTTTCTTCTTAATAGATCATCTAATGAAATATTCAACTGAAAAGGAGTTGAATCTTCCCACACATTAGAACTGAGCTTCCTGAAGCAAGAAAACAAAAATAAAACATATCAACACAGATTGTTTAGTGCAAAAATTAAGAAAATTATGTGCTACAATTATTTGGAGGAGTGGGAAACATTCTGAGGAAATTTTACTGTAGGCTGTTCCTAAGTCCTTTTCTGAATGTGTTATTAAGGTTATGTCCCAGAAAAAAATATAGGGTGGTAATGGAGATTTGTTCTCATCTCAAAACAGTGTTTTCCGTATTTCATTGAAAGCATGGTGAGGTGATGAGGTGGTAGAGCCATGCTTTTTACTCACATATGCAGCAAAAGAAGGAGAAATAAGAAGCAATTGTTCTGCACTGAAACGGGAAAGTTCTGACTGGATATAAGAAAGAATTGCCACCAAGAGAACAATTAAGCACTAGAACAGGATGCCAGAGAATCTGGGAAATCTTTGTGCAAGAACATTTTCTGCACCTGGAGGGATATAGCTGTAAGTAGCCTAGTGTGAATCCAACCAGTGTTGCATTCAAACTCAATGATCTGTGATTTTAAGAAACATTTTAAGAAAAAAAAAACAGGTACCCATGCTAACATCTTTGTTTACTGAGTGCAGAAGATGAAACTTTTCATGAACATTGAGTTTACTTTTTTTTTTTCTTTTTTTTTCTTTGCTTTTAGTTTCATCGTGTCTGAAAAGTTCAGAATGCAAGGCAAAAAGTAGAACTGGGATACAGAAAAGGAGGCATTGGGTCATCTAGTCAGGATCTGAGGCCTATGAGAGTAAAGCAGAAGTGGCAGACAAGGTGTACAAGATGAATTTTACCTGTGGTAGGGGAAGCAGTTATGACATTTACATCCAATATGATAGAACCAATTGAGCTACCTCCAGCACAGTAACTGCCAAAAGCAACTAAATTTAAGTGCAGATTAAATAAAAAGTATGTTATTATTTTTTTAAATGCAGCACAACTGAGAACAGGAGCAGAGCCATGATTTCCTCTGCATTTCATTTCAGTACTGCCAGTTTTCAAATAGATGATCTTGGTCAACACATCAAAATTAAATCACTCACAGTGTGCAAACTCACTTTAAATTGTCAAAACTAAACAACTCTGCCTTTTTGTACAAAATTATTTTTCAGTGTGCACCATCTGTTCATTGGAAATGTATCTCACAAGCACTATTTCAGTAAAAGAAGAAATAAATCTGTTTCCTCACATTTTATTATTCAGTTGAAAATCATTACAGTGATGTTCATGTACACTTAACCAGGCTTTATGAATGAAATTAGAATTCTAAGTCACACATCAACAGAACTGTTTTCATCATTCTTCCTTCTGTGGCACTTCAAAAGATAAAAGTGTGTATTCCTTCAATATATGTATAGTTATAAGCTTGTAAAGATATATTTGGTTGAAGGTCAGGAGCAAGTTTTGTTACATGAAATATATTATATCACTCAGAAGTTTATTTTATAAGGCAAATAAATAGAACCTTGGTAAACTTACCCATCATTCAAATTTTGATACTGTACAGTGCAAAATTATTGCTTTTCAGTAATTGATGTTTATATACTGTTAATATATTGTTACAACTGAAGCTTTTACAGACAGCACTGACGAGTTATTGGAAGTGCATCACCAAATCAACAATGATGAATGTGTAAAATTCCTTATCATGCTGAATTTTTTAATGGAGAATTAGATTTCCCTGTCATTCTTCAGAACTGCTCACATTTAAATACATGTGACTTCTTTATTAAAACTGTGTAGCTTTCAAAAAGTACAAATGTGTAGGTTTCAGATACATTACTCAAGGTATCCAGACCATATGTATGCAATGATCTACTCACAAGTAGACATCATAAAGACTTCCTATTTTGTCTTCCTGGCAACATACCACCTACTTTGTCCTTGCCAATGCCAGTTTTGCTTGTTTTCCTTCTCACTCAGTTGATTTCCACTTAAGAAAATATGTAGCAGCAGTGATGAGGTTTGGATTGTTAAGTAAAACATAGAAAATAATGCCCTAAATGAATTAGATTTTCATGTGAAGAATTTCTATAAAATAGAAATAGGAGTTTAAGAAATGGAACTTCACTACTTTTTCTTTT